TCCCTCATTTCGGTACAAAACTACCTTTTTCATACCAATCTCTCAAACTTTCCAAAGGCACACCTTCAAGAAAATTTTCTGAGCTTAATATATGCTAGTTAGCATGTTTTCATCACAAAAGAAATGAAAATTTTCCCTTAGTGAATCCCTTTTCTCACAAATCTTCTTGTTTTGGGCTTTGTGCCTTAAAATCTGTTTTCGCAGCCAACTTTCAAAATTTCTATAAAAATGTAGAAAATTATTCTGGACCTCGCTTTTATGTCAAAATCTTCCTTAAGGAGTTAGCTTTCAAATAAAATTTGTTTCATTTAAAAAAAGTGAGCGGTTTGCAAGAAAATCAAATTTTCGTAACGGTCGACAAATCTGGACAGCACTGGAGTGTTTTCTAAATAACTCAAAATCTAGAAAAGCTATCCCATTTCCAAAATATGTTTTGGAAACTAGATTAAATTCTCTTCGAACCATAGGAAGGCCGAGTCCGGTGAAAAATCTAAAGTAGTCCTTTCATTCTAATCCTTATGTGATATTGAATCTGGAAATTTTGTTGTGCATGGATGTTTTATGCTCTTGGGTTCATGAAAATGCTTATTAGCTTATGATCATATCATGGCATGATATTATATGTGTTATGGTTATGTTCTTTATCTTCCTGATCTTAATGATGCATGCTTATGTGAATATTATTATCTTGTTAATTTGGTCTAACCTTGATTTAAAACATTTAACTCAACGGAAAACTTAATTGGGATGGTATTGGGTTTTCGAGCACTTGAGTAATGAAAGGATGATAATGTGTGATGTATGGACTGTTGGGATGCGTTCCCTATTTGGAAGTTAAAGTCTTGCGCAAGTGGTTTTCGGAACCCTTGAACGGAACGGTTGTATTCGGACCCTAAGTGGTTTGGTGTGAGGAGGGATTTGGGCAAGGCCCTATTTTACCGTCTCTTTTGAGACCCTGCAGTTGGCGCTACGCGGTATATAACCTTTGGTAGGCATCCGAGGTTAATTCTGCAACAAAGTAGCAAAAGAGGGGGCATACTGAATAATCCGCATCCGATTCTTGTGGTTGAGAGGATGAAATCTTTTTAGAGGATTTTTAGTTTACTAACATCTAACTTGTAACCCTTTGTTTATTTAGTTGAGTATCATGCTTTACTACTTGATGTTATATTTGTGATTGTGTATTGGACTGGGAAAAATGGATAGGGTGTGTGTGTGATTACTGAACATTCAAAGCTCACGGCGTATCATGCCAGGTGTCGAAAAGGAGCTTATAGCTGGAGACGACGAACCTGAAACCTTCGAAGACTTTTGGCTATCTTAGGAAAGTTAAAAGTTCCTTTGATATTTTGTAAGACTCATATAAAGATTTAAATTTTCTTTTTGGGATGTAATGTAATGGAACAAGCTTTTGAAATTAAGGATATTCGTGGTTGTTATGTACTTATATTTTAATATTTATATGTATACACCTTATCGTTGCTTATGAGACCTTGTGTCAATACCCTTTAAGATCTGTCAAAAGGGTAGTGCGCTGCCTAAGAAAGCCGGACTTAGAAGGAAGGCTAATTTGACTCCTCTGGCGATCTGGGATCTTACTTGGTTATTGACCATAGAACTCATTAGTGACTCTCCCTTGACTGCAATCAATAGTGTAGATTCGGGGCGTCTCATATTCAGTGTAAATCGTAAAGTGCCTTTGAAAATTCACTAAATTTTAGTGCAACGATTTTATTTAATATCTTTGCATATTTTGGGGGAAGTCACATATGCTTGACATGGATTTTTGTGTAAATTTAGTGTCTATTGTGTAGGATGTTAGAATTTCATTGAAAATGAATAATTTATTAACGGGTTGAAGGAGGAGGAGGTTATAGTATTGTTGCCTCTTAATTTTTATATACTTGACTTTAGTTCCCATCCCTCTCTATTTGATCATGGTTATGAATTTTATGTTTCTTTATTAAGAAAGACCAGTGTATTTTAATGCACTATTTTCATGGTTTGTTTCTGAATTCATTTCTCTTTTCAGGACCTTTGACATTCCAATATAGCTAGTTGTGAAAGTAGCTTGGGTTTGTTGTGTCATCCATGATATTCTGCTGTCAACAATAAGGTTAGTCTTCAAAGTAGTTCGGGTTAGTTTTATTTTATTTCCTATATTGTTATTTGATGTTTTATTAGATTGATTTTTTATTATACTGATTTCAACTATTCCTTAAACAAGGCTGATTTTGAAAATATCTTAGAGAATGAGGTGGGGACTCTTGAAGGCATCACCCCCGTTATGTCAAAATGAGGTGGGAAGCCTACATTCATGATAAATCCATTAGGAAATAAAAAATTTGAAATTTATTACTTACTTATTTCAGTTTTCTTTATATGTTTTGTTGCTCCTCTTTCTATGCTCTTCAATTAGGTTAAAGAAAACTAATCAGTGTGTTTGGTTTGAGTTTTTTGGATTAAGTTTTTTGAAAATTGACTTTTTTTATTTTCGTGTTTTTTTTTGTTTTTAGTGAATATTTTTTAAATTTTAAACATTTTTTTTATTTTTTTAGATGCATCTTATTTAGATGTATCTAAAAAGTAAAAAATTTGTGAAAAAATATTTTAAAAAATTAATAAATACATAAAAATACAAAAAATGTATTGAATTCTTGTATTTTTTTTTTGTATTTTTGGTATTTAGTGAATTTTTAAATGATTTTTTTTACAATTTTTTTACTTTTTAGGTGTATTTATGTTAAGTGTGTTTAAAAAGTAAAAAAATTGCTTAAAATATTAAAAAAATTCAGTAAAAACAAAAAAATACAAAAAATAAAAAAGTAGAATTTTCTAAAAAGTGTTTTTTGAAAAGTGGAAACAAGCATGGTGAATCATATCTTTATTTGGTTAAATTTGAAATTTTGCTTCCATATATTTTTTTCAAGAAGGGTGTTGCTTCCATATATTAATCTATATTTAAATAATTGTTCATTACATAATTTTTGTAATTTTTGTGTATTGCAAAGTATGACTTGTGTGCTTTATTTATTTGTCATTTTTTTTTTCTATTATGGAACACTGATTGATGTGCTTAATTTGTTATTTGTTATTTTTTTTTATTATACAACATTGGTTGGTGTGCTTTATTTATTTATCATTTTCTTTGTATTGTAGAGCATTGACTGGTGTGCTTAATTTGTTATTAGGCATTTTCTTTGTATTGCAAAGTACTGGCTGGTGTTGTTGTTTATTTTTTTTTCTATTGCAGAGCACTAGCTAGTGTATTTCGTTTGATTTTTTTTAATGTTTCTGTGTTGCGGGACTTACACTTTGGGATTTGTTTAAAATCTTATACTTTTGTTGTGCTTGAAAATCTATGTTTAATTTTGAAAATCTATGTTTAAGACTACAATAGCATACAATTTATTTATTTTTCATTTATTTAATTTTCTACACAGTAAAATAACCATCAAACCATAGAAATTGGCAGATTTCATCCATCAGATTAAAATTAATGCAAAATTATAGCCATAAGATCTCTCTTCTTTATTTCAACCAAAAATCACTCTCTAAAAAAAAATATGATTTTTTGAGAAATGGGTAAAGCACTAAGTTTACACACAACTAGAGAACTATATGCAACTATTTCATCCACTCCAATGAATACACATATTGCAAAAGTGATGAGTTTCGTGATCCAAATTGAAAATGTGTCAAGCAAAAGGGGAAAATCAAAATGAAGAGGTAGGAAAGTATAACATTTAGCCAACAAATCACTCCCCACCCCACCGGCTCTGATCTACAGCCCCTCCCTCAAACACCAAAGAAAAATATAGAAATTTAATTGGGTATTGTTGTTGGTCAGGGTAATAAAGTGTTTATTTTCTGTTGCAAATCGCAGGTGGGTTAAAAAAAAAAAAAAGTAGTAAGAATTTGATGACATGGTCTTTGTTTGCATTTGTACGAGTATACAAAAGTAATTGTATCATTACTATTTTCATGTTTTCTTGATAAATTCTAGCAATTTCTATCACATTACCTCTACCATTACAAATCATGGACACTACCATTTTTTGCCACTTAAATTTCTATTTGACAAACAAAAATGCAACTATTTTTACATTGAGAATTTGAGTTCAAATACTACATCAATCACAATGACATTATATATTGAAACTTGCTTAATGTTAAAAATAAATTTTTATAGCAAAATTTATTGTTAAATTCAATTGGACAATAAAATTTAAAATTTGTTTTTGAAAACACTAAAACCAAATAAATTTTGAATTTTAAATTTGTAAAAAATATTTTTAAAATATATAACCAAACAAAATTTCAAGTTTGACAAACTCTTTTCAAAATCTAAAATTCATTGAAAATTCAAAACCAAACAAACCATCTACTTATAGTCAATTACATTTTAACCCAACAGTTTTATAGTCAATTACATTTTAATCCAAGCAATATTTTTACCGTGTCTTCAGGCACGGGCATACACTGGTAATCTAATAATAGTAATCACATGATTTTATTAATTTTAAAATTTGAAGTATAATTTTATAAATAAATTATCTATTTAAAAAAAATTAAAACGATAAAATTATGTTGTTATGATTATTTATTATGATATTTTTAAAAATGAATATTATAGATGCATAGACCTAAAATTAAATATCATAATGAAGGAAACCCATGGTGAGCAGGGTGTACAATCCACCAAAATGGAAGGGTGAAAATCTTGATCCCTCAAATAAAATATAATTTTTTTATTAATCTCTTCCTTCCTTACTTCCTTCCTTCCTACTATTAAGAAGAAAATTAAGAAGAAGAAGAAGAAGAAGAAGAAGAAAGAAGAGAAGAATGATTCAAAACTGGTAACATAACCGTGAGGCATTTACGGCCCCAAGCCCAAACGGAATTAGATACTCTTTTTATCTTCAAATCAAGCAACACTAAAACAAAATAGTAATAATAAAATCCAAAAGAATCGGGAAAAGAAAATCAAAAGAAAGGGATAGAGTAAGGGAATATTGGGAGGGGGAGATTGGCTGGTTGTAGGTATAGGTAAACAAGGGTGGGGTGGTGGTGTGTGCAATTCATCAGTTTTGTGTGTAAGCCCATAAATCTCTCTCATCCTCTGACCATCTCTCCACTACTAGTCTCTATATATAAACTTCAATCTAAATCTCAACCACTCTGCCCCAAAACCAACCGTACTTTTTTTTTATATCCATTTCTTTCTTGTTCTTTCTTTCTCAAAGGAAAAAAACAGAAAATGAGCTTCAATGCAGCAGCGGTGAGAGCCTACTACTTACATATGCAGCATGTATCTGTGAATCTGATTCTCATACAAACCATTACATTATGTATTTACTTTCAATCTTCTTCAATATTTCATTCTCATCTGTTGCCAGCATCATCATCACCACATAACAAATTCTGTCATTTGATTAATACGTTTTAAGTTTAAATTTCATTTTAATAATAATAATCATTGCTATTGCCATGTTAATATAATATTGTTAATTGTATAGCTTTCTTGCTAATTGTATAGCTGTCTCTTTTCCTTTCTGCTTTCGGTGGTAATGGATCATCATTTGGTATCCAATGTACGTTTCTTCTCTCTATAAAGAGAGAGTTCATTTCTCTTGTAATGATATAACACACAATACAGAAACATTTTGCTCTCTAGCTTCTCTCACTCTTTGCTCTCTAGCTTCTCTCTCAAACTAATCTTTCATGCCACATATCTACAACAGCGCCATTACTGGAGATCAATCCTGGTGGCGAATGGAACCGGAGGAGCTCGATCATTTGCATCTTCGACCATTCCCAAGATGAAACACTTCAATCCAACTGCCGATTCTGTCCACTCTCACCACCCTCCTCCTAAGTCCAGGTTTTATTTAATTATATACACATCTCTCTCTCTCTCTCTCTCTCTCTCTCTCTCTCTCTCACACACACACACACACACACACGTTATCATGATTCATGAAATAATAAATGTTTAATTCACTTCAAAATCCTATTTTTTAACAATCATGCTGTAAATAATATATCATATAAAAAATGCATCATCATTGAGGAATTTGGTTGAAATGATCTGAAGAGGTGCAAAGGACATGGTGTTACTGAATTAAATAAACCAAAATGGTTAATATTCATATATTATCTATATACCCATTTAATGATATGAAGTTGTGCAATGGACACGTGTCTGTGTCAGTGTCGTAAAATGAAGATTGATGCATAAATCAAGCTGATGATTTTGTCAGGATGGCAGCTTTAAAGGGTGACTTCGTACCAATAGCGGTGGTGTTTGGGTTGGTAGCGGTGGCACTTGCAATAGGGGTTCACACAGCCAAGCAGCAGCTGTTCCACTCGCCAGCAGTTCAAATCAGCAAGAAGAGGAGGGAGTCCATCCAGGAGGTGGAAGATCCCGATTACGTCATGGTCGACTCCAACAAGTTCCTCAACAAGTCTTTCCTCAGGAAGGTCGCTCATATTCAGGACCACGACCCCACTCAGACTAATCCTACCAGGCCCAACATCTACACTCGGTCAGTGTACTCTTATCTATTTAAACTTTGTACTAATAAAAAATAAAATAAGATATATATTTTTTATTTTATAGTCAGTCACACAACACAACAGTTTTCCTTACATCAACTGCTAGGTAATCTAACTTTGTTGCAGATCCAAAGAAGTTGAGTCACTGAAATCAGTTGGAGCAAAAGAGTGAGGTGGGCATTGAGACGACCAGCCAGAGTTCCAAATTCAAGAAGCTCTCCGACCAAATGTTGATTTGTTTTATTTAGGAGATGGGTGTGTTTCACTCTTCTCTGTCAAAAATGTTGGTTTCTTCAATGACTTGAATCCTTCCCTCTTTTTCTCTTTTTTCTTTTCCTTTTCTAACGGTTAAACAGCTTTCAAGGCTGTAGTAGTGTTACTGTATGTATCCTCCCTGTTTCTCTTTTAGGTGGTCGAATGAAACTGGAGAAGTGATTTTTATTGGTTTTCTTGTTTTTGTATTTACTTCGCTTTTTAAATACATAAAATAAAGGCACCCCTCCTTTTAATAATTGTCGTACAAACGACAACCCTCTCCCTTTTTGGATGTTAAGGGGTGGATGTTTGGGTTCATGAATCAGATCAGTGTGAATTTGTGAAAGAATAAGAAAAGTCACAGAGGAATAAAGACAAGAAGGAAAATAAGAGAGGGAAGAAAGAGAATGGGCCAAAACAATTACAAATATTTCTTTAGTTTTTACAAGGGTACTTGGTGAAATTTTAAGGTGCCAGTTATAGTGACCCAGCTAGCTGTGTCTTTTCATGGCAAGCGAAATCTGTCCATAAGCCTTCGGACTATTGTCGTATAGAAGGCCAAGGTGGACTCTTTGATTGCTTAATCATTGCTAGTCTGCTCCACGACGAGCTTTGAGTTGCCTTTAATGCATAGGAGTGTGACTCCCATATTGTGAGCCAACCATAAGGCCACTGATCAAAGCTTCATAGTTGGAGCTGCATTCAAACTCTAGCTTGCAAGAGAGATTGACATTAGTGCCACCTAGAGAGACTAGGACCATGCCAGCACCGCCCCCTTTGAGGTGGAGCCAAAAGTTAGGCTCCACTTTCCCTTGAAAGACGCTGGTGTTATGGCTGTAGAGACTAGATTATATTCCATAAATGTGGGAGAGATAACTAGTGCTGAAGGATTTGGGTTCACAGGGATTCAAAGTACAGTTGCAAATCAAATAGTTCACACACTAGATGTTTAAACAAATAAAATGGGAAGTGCTGTGTCTACTGTATGTGACTCCAAAAGAATATAAGGAAAGAAGGCCTCTATTGATCCCTTAAAATTTGATTGCTTGGAGCAATAAACTACCAATAAAGGGCATAAGCATATTCTTAGGAACCTGGAGTGTGTTGGTTAACCATGAATAATTCAAATAATTTTACTACGCATAAGCTAAATTTTTACTTCTAAAATATCCCACCACTCACCTGTAATTTTGATGATATCTAATACAAAGAAAAAAACATAATACCTTTAAAAAAAATAATTTCCGGGCTGATCATGATGCCATTCTTCCTGTTGTTGCTATGGTATGACAGACTACCCCCCATGTTTATAGATTGCACTAAGCTGAAGCTATTCTGGTTTCAAAACTGGCACTTATAATGGGCTCATTAATTGATAAATGCGAAGAGTGATTTATGAAGCAGGTTTAGGGCAAGTATCTGAAGTACAGAGCATTACTTCTCAACATAAGAGAGGCTGTGGCCTGTATCTAACACTAAAAAACTGAATGAACTCAGGGTTATGATTGCCCAGTACCCTTTACTACACCCACTGGCCGTGAGGTTGGAATAATTCGGGTTCCATATTCCTCAAGGCTGTTTTATGTTAATAATCCAACAAAATACATAATCCAACATTTGGCTAAAAAAATTGGTGTCCGGACTAATAATCCACTAGGACGTGGTATCCCCACGTAGTGGACTATTGAATCCTAAGAGGGGAGTAAGATACAGAATAACAAAGGAGACTTTCAAACAAATTGGCTAAATTACAAAATTAATTGGATTTGTCAATCCCTCCCCATAATCCCGGACCAATCCAAACATGGGATATGATATACAATCCCAAAAATGTTATCCAATCTAACCCACTTGTGTTTTTTTGCAGAAACAAGGTCGAGTCTCTTGACCATTTGTTCCCCAACTCTACTTCCATAAAAGATTCAGTGTGTTATGCAGCTGTTGTTTTGTCCACTACAATGGAACATGAGATCCAGTTGTTCACTGGGTGGTTGTAGTAGCGCTTATCGAACAATTTTGGCAAGAGCACAATAGGGGGATCCCCCAAAAGATTATAAAGATAGAATCATGTAGGTACGAATGGGAAGAGATTCATACAAGGTTTTCTAGAAATCAAAGTGTCAAAGATTCAACAACTATGTGTGAAGCATTGTTATTGGTAAATCATACAATTTACGACACATATCACACAATTCAGTTTGGTACAACAAGCAATCGATCCCTATCTCTAGGGCGTCAATCGATGTAAACTGGAATCACATCAAAATTGTAGGATTCGCGATACGTATTGCACGATTCAATTTGATACACCAAGCAATCATTTGAACTTTTATCAACACAAAAGGTTCCTCCTTGCAAAATGAATATTTTGGAAGCATCTAGCAAAAGATTTGAAAAGGTGCACTGATGTGGGTACTCTACAGCTGATCCCTTTGGGAGAGTATTGGAGATGAAAATCGAAGAATGAAAAAATGAAGACTTGTGATGAATTTCATTTCCACTTTGAAGGGACATTCTATAAAATAATGAAGCTTTTCTTGAATGGTGTCTTTCTTATCCAAGAAAAATTTACACTTGTAAATGAATCTTTTTTATATGGGAAATATAGACTTTAGTTTTGCTACAAAATACAAATGTTAGAACTGTTACTTTTAAGATGTGAATTTTGTGATGAGTACAATGTCGTATGTCAATGCATATTGTGTTTCAATTTATCTCAACTTAGTGATTTGAAATTTTGAAATTTTTATTTCTCTCATGATGAATCTTCGATTCTTCTTGTTTCTAGTTCATAAAAGAACACGAATCAACATCATCTTAAAAACAAAACATAAGCAATAATGTAAAACAGGATCATAGATCTCGCCGGGGATCTGACCAACATCTTTTGTCATATATGCGAATGTCTTACCTATTACAACCATATGTTCTTTTTTCATAACATGATTTTCATTGATTTATATATTCAAACTTTTCATATTTATAATGTATAGTATACATCTTTTGTATCAAATTATATATCTTTTCATATTTCATACTGCTGAACTATAAATGTGTATTTTAAATATATATATATATATATATATATGATATTTTTGTACTAAAAAATAACATAGTAAAGTGAATACTTACTTTAATATTAGAAACAAAGATTAAAGCATTGTTAATTTTGTATATTTTGTAGATGGCTTGATTAGTTTAGTTTTTGAGTTTTGTCTTGCATTTGGTATTTTGAGCCTTTAGGTTCCTTTTTTTTTTTTTTTTTTTTATTCCTTGCATCATCTTAATACTTTTCAATAAAGTTTGGTTATTTATCTCTCGCAAAAAATAAATAAACAAATAAATAAATGGAGAAAAAAATAATAATTTAAAATTAAAGAGTGATTCTAATTATTTATTTTGATAATCTTAGCTATATTGTTCTATAAAAGTATTATTTAAATAAACATATGTACATATAGGAAGTGTTTGTTTGGAGTGATTAAAGTGTGGAATAGGATTCCATGTCCATTGCATGTGAGAGTTCGACATTTAGTTCAAAAAATATAAGTTGGACTAATAGTCCAACCGGACTATCAATCCCTTACTTATGAGATTATTGTGTCCCGGGAGGGTATAAAAAAGGTAGGATAATTCCTCCGGATTGGAAGGTTAAAATAACATTTTTGGCCCTCATTTTTTGCCCTCAATTTTTTATTTATATTATTTTCACTACAACAAAAGACAAATTTGGCGACTAACTTTTTAGTCGTTATAGGTCCAATTTTGGTCGCCAAAACCTTTTGTCGACTAATATTTTTGGTCGCCACCTTTGTCGTTGAAAGATGGTTGGGGAAAGTAATTGGCAACTAAAAAAAATTTAGTCGCTAAAAACACACAATTAGCTACTAATAATTTAGTCGCCAAAAGTGTTTCAACTAAATTTAACATGACATTTTCAGCGACTAATATTTTTGGTTGCCAAAACCTAAACTTTTTAGCTACTAAAACTTCAGTCTCCTAAGGTCTAACATTTTCTGTTTGACTTCTAATATTTTAGTTGCCAAAAGCAATTTTTAGCGACTAATATTTTTGTCACCAAAGCTTAACTTGCTTAGCTATTAACACTTAAAGCGTCTAAGGTCCAATATTTTCTATTTTGACTATTAATAGTTTAGTCACCAAAAGTGTTTTTTTCTGTCTTTTTTTTTTTTAGCTACTAAATTATTAGTCGCCTAAAGTCTTATTTGTTATGGCTACTGAATATTTAGTCGCCAAAAAATTTGTTTTCATTTAATTCTTTTTTTTAACTACTAACTATTTAGTTAGCAAAAATATTGACTTTATTTTTAGCTACCAATTTTTTAGTCACCAAAACATCATTTTATTTATTTATTATTATTATTATTTTAATTTGTCCATACCCACAACCTGTATATATTCCATGCAACCTGTACGATATATACATATATTATCACCCATTCAACAATCTACATCCATTTCACTTCCAATCATCTAAAAATTAATACCTTCAAATGTCAATAATTCCATACAAATCAAATACATTCCAATTTAAAATAATAATTCCATACATAACATAAATGATCATAGGGGAAATTTCATCCTCCCCATACAAAAAAATATTTACTACTATGCCAAATGACCATTTGGTGTGGTACAAAATACCATGATAATATGTACCACGACAAAAGGTAATCAATAGATCACAGCATAAATTATCTGTTCAAATGCAAAAGTATTATGTACTCCACCAAAAGTATTCTATACAATTAATAAAAATCTACACAAAAAGCTGAGGACGACAAAAATGCGGGAGTTTACAAAAGTGCAAATTGTCATCCGTCAACAAAAATAGAATATCCACAACTCCATGCCAAAAGCCATCTACAACAAAATATAAAAAATAAAAATACACCAATTAGTTCCATATATAACATTTGAGCATAATGTCACACCCCTTGTAACTGTAATAGAACTTTATCCTAACATTCGTAATTTGATATTGGTTTAACAATTTACTGCCTCATTACTTTTCCTTCAACAAGGCTAGAGTAGCTTCTGTTTTCTTCCATTGCCAAAACATCATTTGCCGTTCACTGTTTGACAGGGTTGATAAAGGTATGTATGCAAGTGGTTATTTGCTTAAAGGTTGTCCAGCTTGAGAACTGCCAAGTCACTACAATATGAATTAATAGTCATATTCTAAACACAATACAAAGTTGGGTATCAGATGTATATTTTATTTTAATATTACTTTGTTTACTGGGCCAGGGATGGATTATTTGAAAAATTGGTTCTTCATTACACTCTCTCCTTGAAACTTTTGACTGCTAATATTCGAGGTTTTGAATTTCACAAAAGATTTGGCTAAGAGAACCCTGGAAAGAGTATAGAGACAGTGTTTGATTTGGTGGAGATGGAGGATGATGAAAGGCGAGAGCTATTGCAAATGTCAGATTCACAGTTGATGGATATTGCGCGGGTTTGCAACCGTTTCCCGAATATTGATCTGACCTATGATGTGGTTGATGGCAACAATGTGAGGGCTGGGGATGATGTCAGTTGCAGGTGACCCTTGAACGGGGATCTTGAGGGCAGGTCAGGGGTGGGACCCATTGATGCCCCTAGTATCCCAAAACCAAAGGAGGATGGTGGCTTGTGGTTGGTGATACCAAAAGTAACCAAAAGTAAGCTTGCCATCAAAAGAGTTTCCTTGCAGAGGAAAGCCAAGGTCAAGCTTGATTTGCTGCCCCTGGAGAAGCAGGAAAGAAGACCTATACCCTCTATTTCATGTGTGATTCTTATATGGGTTGTGACCAAGAATATAGCTTTGCTCTTGATATCAGAGAAGCAGGCGCTATTGAAGACGACAGTGGAAGAGAATGACTAACATGCTTAGAAGATTGAACTCCTTTTCTTTTGTACCATTTGTAAGTTTCCTACCGTGTTATTCCTGTTATTGCTAGACCAGGAATATGTTGGCAGGTGATGCATCATTTGAGTTGACTCTTGTACTTAAAATGGTTGAGATCGTCTGAAATTTGTTGCTGTCGAAGCCTAATTTGTAGCCTTGCATATTTTCCCATTTATATTAGCTCTTCAATTTGTGATGCTCAGCTTAGGGGTAAACAGAAAAGAACTGCAATATGCAACAGTTTGCATTATTGTTTTAGATTTAGTCACTTGTGTTGCTCTTTTTCTGTGTCTCTCTTTTGCTTTGTGTTTCAACAACTGCTATAGTTTTCCTGCCATCCGAAATGGGAAAATTGTAGATGACTCAGGTTTCTTGTTTTGTTATTGGTTTCAGGTTCATGCTTTGAAAATTTGATTTTACAATTATCTGAATCCAAATGGTAGGTTTTTGGTAATAGTCATGTGTGATCTTTTGTTGATGATCAAGATATGACAATACTGTTTAGTTTTATGGTGATTGTTTTGTTGTACTTGGAATCCTTTTTATTATGATAATTTGGATGTGGACACATAAAAGCTAAGATGTCAAGATTTCATAGCTTGAATTTACAGGGAAACGAACATAAAGTACACATTGGACACTTAAGGCTTTTTCACTCCAACTCCCAACTTATGTGAAACCTAAGTTCAAGGCATTTTTCAATTAAATTAAATGAATGTATGCGAAACCCAATCTTGTTATGATAATGTACTCTATGTCAAACCCAACCATTTAGGTACTTTGTTCAACCGTTTCATAATTGATAAAGTAATTGTCCCTATTCGTAATCAATTGAAGGAAAATGAATATTTCATAGAAAATATGTGCTTACCTTTTCAATGTCAGAATGAAGTCCTTCAGAGTGTCCGAACTACAGGTCCTCTGCTGCTAAGTCTCCTAATATTACGCATCAAAACCTATTCAAACAATAAGTTGATAAATTTCACAAAACGTTGGCTGACACCAATAGCCCAACAGGTAGGCCTTTCTGAGTTGATGGATAAATTTAACAAACATTGGCTGATACCAATAGCCCAACAGTGTAGCATTTCACAATTAAACGAATAAAAAAGTGAATGGCAGTCGGGTAGCATATCATAACAAACAATTTACATAAAAATCAATCTCTAAGTGCCAAAGTCAATTGCACAGATTCCAATCTGATTGTGCAGCAACAACAATAACCTATTGTAGCATTTCAATTATGTCTATCAGTTAGTATAATCCTTCACTTTCTCACCATCCTTGCCTAACTAATTTTTCAAATCAAACTAATTTGCACTACAAGCAGTTAATAGTTTTCTGTTGAAAATTCAGAACACTACAAATGTGTATTCCTTTTTTATATATATAGGGAAATTCAATACATTATTTAAAAAATAAAAAATAAAAATCAATCCATTCAAACATCATCAACAACATCGTAACGGGCATCTTTTCCATGATCATCAATATACAATATATATCACTTTAAAATGGGAGGCATATACGCTGATGCTTTACTGTTAAGAACATAAATTTAGGAAGAGTTGGCTATGTTTTGAAGGGAGTGAACACTGGAAATTTAGGAAAATTGCTGGTGGACTTTTTGTAATGCAGTTGGGTACTTAGAATTATGCAGAATCATGAATAAAGTAAAGCATTTCATGGCTCTTTGGGTACTGTGTACTGTTTAGGTACTGTGTATGCTTTAGGGACTGGGTACTTTGTATATACAGTAGAGCTGTCATGGCTGTTTGGGTACTCTTTAGTCTTGACAATGTATATCAAACTATTCAACCCTAAAATGAATAGTTATGTTTAACATGAAACTGCAAACTCAAGCCTCAATGAAGTATCCTGTTTGGCTCGAATTCAAAACAGTAATGTCAATATCATCTTATTTATGTAGAACTGTTACTATCATATGAATAAGATTCTTCTTACCAAATAACAAAATCAACTTAAAGCATTGGCAATTCAATACAATTCCCACAACACAAGGACCGCAGAATTGAAGTCCTACATCCATATATATATAAAGAGAGAGAGAGAGAGAGAGAGAGAGAGAGATGGATAAAAGCTTTTCTGTATAGGTGTCTGAATCAAAACATAGATAGTAATATAAATTAACAAGAAATCAATCCCTTTTTTTCCATCGAGAAATATGAACATCAATGAAGTTCCAACAAACTGATCAAGTCCTGTAGGTGATACTTCCAATAAGAGCACAGAACCAGCACTTACCAATTTTAATTGACAAAGCCCCAGCTGCCTGCACATTAAAGGAAAAAAAATATATATATATATCAGTAATCAGAGTGACCTATAAAATAATACTATCATTTAATAAACATAATGCCAGAGTGTTTATTACACAAAACAAAGGTTAAGTACTTCGGTAACCAGCACAGCCAGGCACCAATTCATATGGTATTAAATATTAAAATAATGAGTCACAGCAGTAAATTTGGAATACTGAAAGAATGAAGAATTGAATCAAAAATTCAACACCTTGGTACTAAAACAGGCTAGTTCAGATAATTCAACGTTTGCTGTCTTTTTCAAGGACAAACAGCAAAAAAATAATAGTACAAGTTTCTTGAGACGATTAAATGACATCCCCATACTATCAGTTACAACTGAGAAGCCTCCAATGGTAAAAACCCAAATCCATTTTGTTTGCTTGCTATAGTGCTCCCAAAGAAAAAAAAAAACATTTTTTAGCTATACAACTCCATTGATTCTCATCCCATGCTATCTGCACAATCTTATGTCAATTTTTTACCGTTGGATCAATTTCTCAAAAAGCACCTAGTGTTGATTATTGCCTTTGCTGGTGTGGCAAACTTGGCAAAGCCAAATTTTGGCTACAGATTTGGCACTGGTGGGGGGCTTTTGGCTCACATTTACAGCACATTACTTAAAGATTTCAAATTTGGCATCCACTAGTCAACCAACCACACAAGTTTCCATGCTACATTTACATGAAGTTTGAATTTGGTAAAAATTTACAATTCCCTCTTCAGCAGCCACCCAAACATGCTACATTGCAACTCTATTCATTGTCTTTCCTCAACATCTAAAAAAATTGGGATCCAAGTTCAGAAATTTAATAAAGCAGCAAACAATTTTTGGTGCCAAAAAAAAAACGTACCTTTCCAATCAGGCGAAGATAGTACATCTATTTGGCTTAATCAAGGTGAGTTCTTCAATTCTCAGAAACAAAACCAACATGACCCATTGAAATTCGACATTACCTTCTTTCGCTTCCTTTCCCTTTTCCATTTAGTAAAGTTGCGTCTGAATTATAATTTTTAAATAAGAATTCATTTATATTTAAATTAATGATGAAAGACCTGAAGTTACATAAACAACATTGTCACTCAAAAGATACAGTCGAAACATTAGGTTCAAACAAGGTAATAAGTTGCTTTATTAACAAAGAAAACCTTTATTTGAATCAAAACATTACAATACAAAATAGAGTACATAAAGAGAAACATCACATAATACAAAGCCATGTGCAATGCAGTAGAGTAGAGAACTAAACTAGACAAATGGCTGAACTTGTCTGTATTTCAAGATCAAAACAGAACAAATGAAAGCAAGATATATGCCCTCAAAAGCAAGAACACACAAAACCTCCCAAACGCATCTTATTCATAGGCTAATAATAAAGTTAAGTGCATAGTTAACAAGATAGATGGTAATTTGCAAGCATCTTATTCAACCCAAGTGGTATTTCCAAACTTTCTCCATGAAACCGATTAAGTAATTAAACTGCTAGCATATGAGTACGGTGGTGGTGGTGCTATATCATGTAAAACCATATCCCATAGCTAACTATCAAAAACAACAGGGAGATGTGCATCCAATTTACAGCTTCATCCAAGAAACCATAACTTGAAGACACAAAAAACAAAACTTTAAAAACCAGCAAATAAAAACAAAAAATTGTTTATATAAAATTTCAGAATATTTATTTATTTAAAATAAAAGGAAGGGAACTATAAACAAATAAAAGATCAACCAGCAGTGTGACTCAACAATAACAGTGCCTACAAACAACCAAACATTACTCACTGATTTACAAGAGAATTACAGTAAAAAGATGTACAACATCAACATTTAAATAGTACAATGAGCATCCCAAGACAAACAAAACCCAAATCTCTTACTACTCACACATTAAGCTAATATTTTTCTAAAATCAAATTAAACTCATGAGCTTGAATTTGGGAGAAATTAACACAAACCCTACAGCAAGCGTAGGAAATCAACACAAAATGAACACAAAAATCTGAATTTTGAGTTAAGAAATCAACACACAATCAAACAACAAAAATCATATAAAACCCCAGAGCTACGTCTGAGAAATGGGGAGAGAGAGAGAGAGAGAGACCGAGATGGACAGAGAAGGAGAGGAAGAGAGAGCGAGATCGACAAAGAGGGATCGAGACTAAGAGCGACAGAGAGGGAGAGACCGAGAGCGACAGAGCGGGAGAAAAATACCTGTGATTAAGTGGCGCTGGCGATTTGCAGGTGGCGAGTGTCGGTGGTGAGAAGGGGTGAGGTGAGAGCAAAAAGTGTTTGAGACAGAAGAGTGTATATCGTGTGTGAGAGACAGAACATACAGTGTATATATATCGGGCGCCAAAGTCAATTGCTTTCCCTCTTAAAAAAAAAAATTCAACCTTTAGCGACTAAATTATTTTTTTGTCACCAAATAGTGCTGAATAATGACAAATTGTTTTGCAGCCAATGATTAATTAATAGCGACTAATATATTGATAGCCAAAAGTATCATTTGGCTACTAATTTTTTTTTTGTTGGCAAAAATTAAATGTACGGCTACTAAATTTTTGTCACCAAAAGGTGTAAAAAATGTCCATAATATTTGGCGACTAAACTATATTTTTGTCGGCAATTAACCTTAATCAGCGACTAAACCTACATTTAGTAGCGTAAAATATAAACTTTTGGCGACTAATTATTATTTAGTAGCCGATTACTATAGATTTAGTGACTTTCGTTTTAGTCGCCAAAAAGACAATATATCTCGACTAAATTCAAATAGTAGCTGAACTGTGAACCTTTGGCGACCAAATTTTTTTTTTAGTAGCCAAAAGGTATATTTTTTGCTACTAAATTAGTTTTGGTCGCCAATTTTGGTCGCCAAATGTGCATTTTTTTGTAGTGTTTTATTTATACTTAGTAAAGTAAAATAAAATTTAAAAATCTCAACCAAGGAAGCACGGGTGCGGGTACGAGTACGGTACGGGTACGAATGCGGGTACGCCGATTCGGCAAAACTCAAAAAAAGTACGATACGGGTACGGCTACGGTACGCCGATATTTTTTTATTTTTTTTTAAATATAATTTTGATTAAAGGATCCAACCTACAAATTAAAATTAAATATCAAAACTAAAAAAAGAACTACTCATTATTTATACTTAGTAAAGTAAAATAAAATTTTAAAATCTCAACTAAAAATTAAATTAAATTAACACTCCATGGACTATAATCCTCCTTTAAAAATTCAATTTATTTAATTAAAAATAAAATTAAAAGCTCAATTTATACAATTTATTTAATTAAAAACAAAATTAAAAGTTCAATTTATTGAAAAGTTCAAATTAAAATAAAATTAAAAAACCTCAACTAAAAATTAAAATAAATTTATATAATTTTTATTGATGTTCTATTTATTTAATTTTTTAAAAGTTTTAGTAAAAAAATTAAATAAAATAGGATACACATCGGATTCAATAGAATAGTCCAATCCAAACATATAATAGCATGACTAAACAAATATAAGATTCAATAGAATAGTCCAATCTAGATATCTAATCACATGACTAAACAAACATAGGATACAAATCCAGTCCAATCAAATAGTCAGGGACAAAACATCCCAAAACTAACAGTCCGGTGGATTACAATCCCCCGTATCCAGTCCGTCCAAACAAACACACAGATATATGATACTTTTAGTTAAATTATTTGTGTGTGTTTTAATAATCTTAGTCCTATCGTGTTCTGTTACAATCATGATCCCATACTGAAGAAGAATAGGTGATTTGTCCGATTTCATTCCAGACTTCCCCATTGGAATCCTCCGCAATCTTTTGTTGTCACCTGAAACAAAGGAAAATCATCTAGGCTACCTGTAAATGCCCATGAGAGCATTGTAAGGCTATCTCAGTCTGTTTTTTAAAAAATGTTTTAGTATTTCTTGACATTTAGGCCTTGTTTAGGAAGTTAATTTTTTAGCTAAAAAAGTCATTATAATTTGTCAAATCATTCTCTCTATTTTGTGCATGTTCTTTTATTAAAAAAATCAAAAAAAAAATTACTAAAAAATCCAATTCCCAAACTTCATAGTAGGAAACTCCTACTTGGGTGATTGTTTCAACTCAAAAATATGATTTTGTGCTCTCCAGTAAGAAACTTGTAAAGAACTCACTCTTGTAGAGGAATAAACTCGCTCCCAATTGATATAGAACCTAACAAACATACAAATCTCAAATAAACGAAAAAAAACAAAAACGAAAAAGAAAGCTTAAACTTATTTTAATGCTTTCTATTTACAAAATTATTTATACTTGACAAGGCAATTTGTAATTGACATCAATCTCCAATAATAATTCATATTTTAACACATATATTACAACTCAGCAATAAATAAATATATATATATATATATATTAATATATAAAATATACACACGCCCCCATAGGTGCTCCCAACCTTAGGAACTTCTATATGCCGTCGCTCCCTCACCACCACCCCCACTACCATCCCCATCCCCACTTTGTGCAACTAATCAGTATGTCAAATTTGAAATTTTGATGTGTGCTGGAAACTACTGGAGTTACTGGTTAGTCTAGAGATGATAATTGAGCATGTTTCATTGGGGTATAATTGTTGTTGTAAAGTAGATGTACAAGTTAGATCTTCTTTAGACTTCTTTTTTTTTTAAGGCTAGTTATGTCAAGGGTACATGTTAGGTCTGAGATCTGTTTGTATGTCTTTTATTTTCCTACCAATAATAAAGTTTCCTGTACCAAGCAACGAAATGGGGAAAAAAATTATCCCTAGGTTCAAGGAAGGCCCAAAAAGGAGGAATAATGACACAGTTACAGGGAAATCAAGATGAAAATGAAATGTTCCAGAAATGAAGAGCTCATTGGCTACTGGAGCTTTGATCCTTTTCAACTACAACTAGTCAAGCAACTGCAGGAATCTAGAAAGCACGACACTACATCCATGTAAGCTACCATGAATGTTTTTAATTTGGAAGAGTTGGGTAATTGTGGTCATAATGAAGCAAATAGGAAAACACAATCGAGGGGAAAAAACAGCTGAGTTAAACATACCAAGATAATTTTTCAAGTTGCAAAAGTAGCAATGAGGTTTTACAGATTAAAACTTACAGAACAAGGTGCAGTAGGCAGCTACTAATACCATGCTGGGGTGCAAATTCAATGCAAAGAAATTAAAGAGAGTACAAGCAGAAACAACTAGAATGCATGCTTACCTTCTCAGATGCTCTAGAGAACAAATGCGCTACTTATACTTGCAGAAACCAATATTAGACTAGATAGCCAACAAAGTAAACCTGCAAATGGAGAAACACAACTTTGCTAAAAAAAAAAAGTAGAGTAAAAAAAAAACAAAAGAACCTGTGAAACAGGACATCTAAAAGAGGACGGTGATCAAGCCAACGAAATCCTGCAATATTGATTCCCGTGTCTTCTCAGGTTGAGAGGGCAATCTTGTATTCACACATGTACTTGTGAAAACACCAAAGTGGTATAAAAGTTGGTACATATATTGAATGACTCATGCTTAAAAATTAAACAAAGCCCGCCAAAACTATTTTAAACCCCAATGAATGTGATAAAAAATATTAAAAAAAAGAAGCATATCAGTAGGTTTTCATGAAGTAATGCGAAGAAAAAATAAATAATGACATAGGTTTCATGAGTACCGCGAAGCAAAACTGCATTATGCAGTGTTTAAAAAAGTGGTCCACAGTTACATAACATCACTGTTGGTGGTTTTCACCACCAGTTACAATCAATTTTCCGGCATGAATGAAAATAACAAGCATAGCAATAATTGAGCTTTTTGGCAAAACTGACTATAAAAGATCATTTTCCATTTTTTAGGCTTTCAATAGCTAAAATCTCATAAAAACACAGACTTGGGCTGAAAATCTTTTATCTACGAGTCTTTGAGTTTCAAATAAGCTTAGATGAATCTACATTTTTTCCCCATTATTTTTCATATGATTCCTTAAAGATCTATGATTATTAACTTAAACCTTTTTTGTTTTAGGTTAAATTTGTTGAACAAAGGTTCGAATACCACCTATAAAGCACGGACACGGACACGGACACAAGACACGGCAATTTTCAAAAAATGGGGACACGGACACAGATACGGCGGGGGACACGGCGAAATTTTTTTTTTAAAAATATTTTTATGTGTTAAGTAGATTCATGTTACATTCAGCCTAAATCAAAATTAACAAAGACTAACATAGTAACATTAATTTAACCACCTATAAAGCACGGACACGGACACGGACACGGACACGGACACAAGACACGGCAATTTTCAAAAAATGGGGACACGGACACGGATACGGCGGGGGACACGGCGAAATTTTTTTTTTAAAAATATTTTTATGTGTTAAGTAGATTCATGTTACATTCAGCCTAAATCAAAATTAACAAAGACTAACATAGTAACATTAATTTAATAAATATAAGATTTAACATCCAACATCCAACAATAAATATAAGGAGAAAACATTCAACATCCAATAATATTCTTCACTAAGCACTAAATAAGAGGCAAAAGACAGAAAAAAAGAAAAGAAGTTGGCCCTCCAAAACTTCAAGTAGATCCAATTTCTTGCACGTCCTCATCATCATTAGCATCACCATCTTTTTCTTCATTTGCACCTCCATCATCTGTAAACAACACAACATCCATCTCATGTTCATCAAGTGAGAGATTTGCAACTTCAAGCATCCCAACATCATCAAATGAATCAAATGTGCCACCCGCAATATCTCATAACTTGGTCTCTCCTTCAAGGTATTGTGGGGTTCTCCTTGATAAAAGACGGAGGTTGCTTTGAACAAAAACCAAACCCTCTGCACGTTGGGGAGTCATCTTGTTTCTTCTCATTGAATGGATAAAAGAGTATATACTCCAATTCCTTTCAGCACATGACGAAGAAGAAGGTTGCACAAGTAGCCTTAAAGCCAAAGATTGAAAAGTGGGTGTAGATGCACCATGAACAACCCACCAACTATGAGGATCCATATCACATCTCCAATGGAATCAATGTCAGCAAATGGCCCCTCTTAGGTTGAGAACTTAGCATACTCCAAATTTGCTTTAGTGCGCTCCATTGGATCATCAAAAACCTTTTCAAGCACTTTTTTTTCTCTCAAGGCAGTCATCCTTATCCCACCAAAAGTCATCCAACAACATATCCTTTACAAACTTGGACTTACCAATATCATCATCCCTATAACAACTCCATTTGTCACTGATTACCATTATTTGGAGACATTACTTTATCAACTTGACCCTCTTAAGCATGACAATGGAAGAAGCAAAGCGTGTCTCGGTAGCTGAAAGAAGCTTCAAACTCACAAACTCATTATACATTGCCAACCTCATGGAATGATTACAAATAAAATTCTTGACCATCATCACATCACCCACAATCTCACTAATCCAATTACACTCTTCAAATGCAACTGAATTATTTTCCACATTCTTGGTAGCACAAATATTCTTCAAGGTAAGATTGAGGGTGTGCACAACGCAAGGAGTCCAAAAAATGTGAGGAAATTGCGTTTCAATTAGATGCCCGCCGCCTTGCAATTTGGGGCATTATCTATAATGACTTGAACCACATTTTTACGCCCAACCTCCATGATCACTTCCTTCATCAAGTTGGAAATAAAAAACACGTCTTTTGTTTTTCCTGAACAACCAACCGCTTTAATAAACATAGGTCCACCTACGGTAACAACCATACAATTTATTAATGGCCTTCGTTGGGAATCGCTCCATCCAACACTGACTATACTCACACCCTTCTCTCTCCATGTGCCTCAAATAGGGTCTAACAGCCTGCCAATGTTTATCCTTTCTTTTTAACGCAATGTAGTTCTCAACATGTTATATCTAGGCGGTACATATCCTTATATGTTGTTATTTGCAGCAAAAGTAAACACATTAACATAGTAAGGATTTCTTGCCAAATGAGATGGCAAACCTATTGAATAAAACATTCTAGCTATCTCACTATTTAATCGTTCTCGAGCCCCAATGTTAAATGCTTTCATAACAGGGTTACTATTTCCACTCCCTATAGCAGTTGACCTCTTCCTTTTTGATCCATAGATCTCATCTGGTTCATTGAAACATAAACCTAATGATGCACTTGAACTAAGAGGAGGCAATGAGACTTTCTTCAACTTAGAGTTTTTCAATTTCAACTCTGCTTTTGCAATTACCCTCTCAAATTCTGCTTTATCTTTACTTGTTACTTTTGGACACACTTCTATCCCTTGATTTTTAATTTGCATCAAATGGGCCTTTACTCTAGTGTATAAACCTTTACGTGTAACCCGACAAAAGTTGCATTGAAAAGTATAGTTCCCCCCTCTTGCACCAGATTTTTCTAATCTAGTCACATATTTCCACAGTAGCTTATCATCTTCACCATCAAAGGCAGAATGTGTGTTATTGGCAGAATTTGAACTAAACATTTTTCCTGTAACATTAACATTACAATGATTAAAAAAAAATGAGAACCGTTATAAATTAACATCAACATTAACATTATATATAAATCAAAACCATTATATATATAAACTTATAATTTTTTTTTTAAAAAAAAATAAAGTTTTAGATATATATACATATATATTAACATATAAAAAATATTTTAAAAAAAAGGTCTTACTTATATATATAAAAGTATTAAAAAAAAAAAAAAAAAAAAAAAAAACAAATATCAACTCAGTTGAAAGCACTGAGCAGAGGGCAAAGGGAAAAAAAGAAAGAAAGAGAGAGAGTGAGAGTGAAAGAGAAAGAGCAAGAGAACGAGAGATAGAGAGAGAGAGAGAGAGAGAGTGTGTAAGAGAGAGAGGGGCTTACCTTCGAAGTCGTCTAGATCGGAGGTTTGAGACAGAGACAGAGATTGAGACGAGTGGTTTCAGACAGAGATTGAGGCAGAGACTGAGACGAGTGGATTGAAGGGCTTCGATCGACTTTGACTGAGAGAGAGAGGTCTTCGCAAGTCTGACTTCCTTCACTCTTTTCTTTTTTCGATTTAGGGCTTACAAGCCTTACATGTTTTTTTTTTTTTTTTTTTTTTAAAATATTACACTTTGACCCCAAATAAATATAACAAATTTAAAATTGAGCCCCGCCATGTCCTATGGCGTGTCCCTATGTGGACACACGTGTCCCCACTGTATCCCCTTCCAAAAAAATCATTAAATTAAAGGGACACAGCAGATGGCGTGTCCCGTACATGTCCCCGGCGTGTCGAACACTGCCACGGCACCAATTTTAGAGTGTCCATGCTTCATAGAATACCACTCTTCTTACTACTACTAGTATTATGAATGAATGTTAATAACTTATGATTTAGGACTATAAAATCATCATTATCATTAGCAATTGCAACTGTTACTTAAAAGCCTTGACTTAGATATGAACATCGGACGACCACAGTGTTTTTCTTGTTTCCCTTTTATATGGTTCTTTGATTTTATGTTGTTACTTTTTGCCTAGCTAAATGGGTTGTGGTTGGATTTTCTTCATTGGCTAGGGTAAGTACTGTGTCGTGTGCCTCTTAGGGCCATGTGTACCTACAAGCACGGGTCTTGAGCCTCATTATAATATTCTCTTCTTTTTTCTTTTTCTTTTTTTTTGGTAATAGAACTCTCTCTCACCACAAAATAATAATAATAAATAAGGTGAGATTAAACTTTCGAATTTTAAAATTTGAAGGGGGACTACCACAAATGAAAAGTAAGAAAAAATGGTACGAGGGAGTACAAAAAAGAAAAGAATGATCATGGAATATCTTTAAAAGAATAGTTAAGACAACATGACAGTGAACATGTATTAACTAAAATGAAGATACGACATCTTATCTAGTTATGAGTAACACAATGTAACCATGCAAGAATATTTAACATGTAATCATAATAATTATACAAAAATATACGACTCTTGAGTGGTTTCACAATAATCATGAAGGATGCTCTCATTGTGCCCTTAGCAATACAATCGGACAATCCATTAAATAATGAATTAAACAACTCTGTCTAACATACCCTGGCCTCAACAATTTCCTATCAAAATGAAGGCCACCAAAATTTCTAGTCAAACTTCCAGCATGACAAAATAGTAGGAAACAATAACACTGCCAATTGATATACTTGTCACTCAATCCAAGCCTAAGGTGTTCCGACATAGATAGGTCCTTTCTACATATACCTTGGAGGTAACAACATCGGATTCCCCACCACTCAAAAGAAAAATCTAAAAGAAAAAGATCACTGCATAGCCAAAAAATGAAAAGAAAAGAAAATAAAAACCACCAAACTAATACCGCATAATAAACACAAGGCTTTTCGAACCATAGAAGGGACAATAGGGATCAAATTGCTGACATTAGAATGTTATAAAAGCAATACTGACTAGAAATTAACCCTTCAAAGTGAACATTCCTAATTCAACACGTACAAATTATAACAAAATATAATTTCAGGAAAATTAACAGAGAAGTCATCTAAAATGAAATCCTTAACTAATGTCTAATACAATTGCGAAGATCCTCCTAGTTGATAGAAGCTAACAGCATGGCAGGAATATCAGAAAGGATATAATCACATTGTCAAAACTACATTCAGCACTTTGCAATTCTTATTACCATATTCTAGAAGCTTGTGTTCCAATGCAAACTCAGTTCCTTGTCTGTAGCAGCAACCAAATTCTTCACTTCAATTCTGATCTCCTAACCATAATACAGGACAGTTCAATGCTGCTTCAATGAGCAAACACTGTGTCATTCCGCCTAGGTGGTCTGTCAGGAATGCTTCCCGGTTTGAATTTTGAAGCCTCGTGTCTAGCCAATTCAGGGGGCACGGGACTGTTACTCTGAATAAGCATCTGCTTGAGATCGTAGAAGACATCAGTATCATGTAAAGTCAAGAATGTTGTTGCAACACCTGTCTTTCCTGCACGACCTGTTCGTCCAATACGATGGGTGTACATTTCAATATTCCCAGGCATATCATAATTGATTACATGGGCCACGTCAGGAATATCAATCCCCCGTCCTGCTACATCCGTTGCAACCAATACATTGTATCTCTTGGCCCTGAAACCTTCAAGACTAATTTCTCTCTGCTCCTGAGACTTGCCACCATGTAAAGTTGTCACACGATAGCCAGACTTATCCAAAGATTTGGAAAGGTTATCAGCAGACTTCTTAGTGTTAATAAACACAATAGCTGTCTTATCTCCAAGTTCATCCAACAATTTCTGCAACCTATACAATTTCTCCGACTCCTTCATCATGATCACATGTTGGGTGATTAGGTCAGTTGTCTTTCCTGCAGTACCAATGGTGACAACCACTGGATTTCTGAGGTACTTTCTAGCAAGTCGCTCCACAGCCGGTGGCATTGTAGCACTGAACATATAAGTTGTCCGGTAAATCTTTTTGTCGTCGAGCTCCTCATCTTCGTTCTCGGGTTTTAAATTGCTTGAAGGCATTGCATCCAAGACACCCACAACTTGCGGCTCAAAACCCATATCTATCATACGATCAGCCTCATCAAGGACAACATAATTGCACTGATTCAAAACAGCATAACGCCTCTCCAAGCAATCAATAAGACGGCCAGGCGTGGCGATGACTACCTCGCACCCTTGCCTAATCTTGAAACCTTGCTCTTCAATTGACTGGCCGCCAACAATAGAAACAACCTTGATGCCCAAATAATGGGCAAACTTGACAGTCTCGTCCTCAATCTGCTGTGCAAGTTCTCGAGTAGGGGCCATGACAACTGCATAAGGCCCCTCGGCGTCGTTGTCTTCGCTCATTGGAGGTAGCCTAGATATGTAAGTCAACATGGGAAGAACAAATGCAGCAGTCTTACCAGAACCAGTCTCCGCAATACCAATGACATCACGCTGCTGGAGACCGAGTGGAATGGCAGCCATCTGAATTGGGGAGGGGGTCTTGTAGCCTGCCCTCTCGACGGCCCTGAGAAGCTCCTGACTCAACCTGCTCTCCACCCAGCTCCTCATGGGGCGAGGAATCTTGGATCCCTTGTAGGAAATGTTGAAATCTTCACGGAAGATCCTCCAATCCCTCTCGGTCATCTCTTCGAGCTTCTTGTCGGACCAGTGGCGGTCGACCCTCATGTCAAATGTGTCGTACAAATCAGCGGCCTCTTCCTTGAGTTTCTGGGCGGCGGCCTCTTCAGGTTTCTCCTCAATACCGTCCTTCTTGCGAATCTCGTCTCTGATTTCCTTCTCGTTCTTGGCAGCGAGCTTCTTCTGCTCGCGGCGATCCATGCCAGCGCGAAAGCCACGGCCGAAGAGGAGGCGAGCCTCGTGAGGGTTTTGGTAGAGGACATTCATGTCGCGGGAGGTGTCCTCGGTGTTTTCCCAGTCGAAGGAGAAGCGGAACTTCTCGCTGGGCTTGATGACGCGTTTCTTAGGTTTTTTGGATCCCAAGTATTGCTCTTTGATGGATTCAAGCTCTTTCTCTCGCTCTCGCTCCGCTAGCTTCTCCAATCGGGCACGCTCCCGAGCCTTTTGTTCCTCCTCGCGCTCCCGCTCGCGGTTCCGCCGCTCCGAATCGCGGTCTCGGTCGCGCTCATAATCGTGATCGCGGGAGGAGCGGTGGCGGCGGGTGGTGTCATGCGATGGATCGGAGTGGGGTTTGGAATCGGAGGTGGAAGGCCGATGGTTATGGAGAAGGAGTTCGGAGTGGCGTTTGTGGTCAGCAATTTCTTCCTCGCGACGCTTGAGGGCTAACTGCTCTCTTTGGGCTTTGGTGAGGAATACCGGCTTCTTGATGTCGTCGCCAGTGGCTGTGCCGCCTCCGCCGACGTCACTCGGCGCTCGTTTCATGCGAGAGAGAGAGAGATCCTTCTTGTTGTGAGATTGGGGGTGTGTGTGGGTGAGGGTTCGAAGGATCGCCTTTTGTCTTTGTGAGTCCAGATCCTCTGCCGTAGCTCCTTGCCTGCTGTGTGGTGCCAAACGGCGTCGTTTTGGCTTTTTTTTTTTTTTTTTTTTTGCCCTTTTTCTTTTTTGATTTTCCTGTCCCTTTTCCCTTGGTTTCTTCTCTCTCAGGCTAAGAACTAAGAACTAACCTACCTCGACGGAGCAAGAATAGACAAACGAAATAAAGTGGCGAGACGGGGTGAAGCGACGGTACTAGATTCTCAACCTCTATTTGCTAGTTGTTTTCTTGTTTGTATTCACATAAATAAAAGAGGGACAACAACAAAACGTTCTTCTTTAAGTCTCGATTCAGGTCTATGAAGCAAATTTAGCTTTGATTTTGATCATAGGTGTAACCCAGAAATTCATATATAAAACTGTACATGTGAGAGATGGGCTAAACCGTCTGAGAGGGTAATTTATGATCTGGAGTTGGGCCGAGGTGACGACCGAGCAGGTTGAGGGCCCAACGGTGTATGGGGCCGAGCTGATCAACTATCCGCCCGGAAATGGGCTACCAGAACTTGGGCCGGGCAGAGTTTGGACTGAGTGTGTGCCGCCCCGGACCGTACGGAAGCTGCTCGGCCAGGAAGTGACCGGTCAGACCAGGATGCTCGGTCCGAGGATGGTCGAAACCAGACAGACCGAGAGACCGGCGCCCGGAAAGGCGCGGTCAGCCGAGGTAGTTGATTGACCGGCAAGAAGGCCAACCAAAGGAGGTGCCCGGGCTAGGCTTTGCCGAGATGCCGCCTAGCCCGGTCCTTCATGTGTTTGTCCGGCTAGGCGCATGGGTTTGAAGCATGACATGGCCGAGGTAGAACAGCTCGGCTGCCGAGCTCCAGCTGTGAAGTCAGGCAGTTGAGGTTAGGTGGTGAATGGCATGGTTTATGCTGACAGATGGGATAGCAGAGCCACGTGTCAGGAGATGACTGGGAGTGGATATGGGGCTCAGAAGGTATAAAAGCATGCCTGCGCCCCCCATACGCAACACGAACACATCTGTAAGGATTTCTTACACTCAAACACTCTCTCCCTTCTCTCTATCCATCCTAAGGTGTGTGCTAACTTGACCGTCGGAGGGTTTTTCCGGCCACACACCGCCGGGTAGCTCACCATTACTTGCTCGCAGGTGATCGGACATCGACGGAGCTCGGAAGAAAGGAATACGGGCACGCTGGAATATTTGCTCCCCGTACATATACAAAATGAATAGTTTAGATCATCGAAACAGAATTCGTGATAGATTCAACAAGCCAAAATAGCACCATCTAGTGGATCGGAGAGAAGCTGTCTATTTGTATAAAAAAATTTATTTGCACAGCACTGTTCTAACCAAATATAGTATATCAAATGTGAGGATAACTAAAGAAAAATGTTTAAGATCACTAATTTAGGAGCACTAGGAGAGCACTAATTGATGGGGTCCACTTCCTGATGTGATGTTTTACTTTTTTTTTTTTTTCACTGCCAGTTCATTAGAGCTGGCATTAGTGGTGCTATTTTAGTGGTCTAAATCACTGCTGATAACTAAATAGGGTAAATTGTCAATAAGTCTTATTTTTTAGACTTATTATCATTAAATTTTATTGATAAATTTATTAAGTGATAAATTTATTAGTCTCTTTTAATTTTATAATAAACTTACAGTTATAAATTTATCAGTAAAGGTATAAATTGTGACGCCTGGGTTTTTCGGGTCGCTTGAGCGCAAATCTTCTGCTCCTAGTAGTTGGCAGTTTTGCAGGCAGATCGCTCGAGTGTAGAATGTTTGCTCCTAGTAATTTCATTGTAGCTCTACAAAACTTTTGAGACCTTGCGTTTACTGGTTGATCAGACTCTTCAATTATGAGCACTTCGCTCGAGTGGTGGAAAGTTCACTCGAGTGGTTTGTTCGGGACGACACATTTAAAAGTCGATCTAAACAACTTTTCTCTCACTTTTTCCATATCTTTTTTTCTCTCTAGCAACCATTCCTGAAACCCTAGCCCAAAAACATTTAATTTATCTTGTTATTAACCTAGATCCACCATAGATCTTCCTAAAGGGTTATAGAACAAGTTTGGTTCTAAAATGTTACTGGCTGTTTCGTAACTTCTTGGAAGTTAGAGTTGGGCTTTCATCCATTGCCTTCAAATCTTGAGGTAGGGGAACTTTTAAGTCATTATATTTTTTATTTGGAATATATATGTGGTATTTTCATTATATCTATATAGACATCTAGAAGTATGAAGATTGGTGTGTTATCTAATGTGTTTGATCTAAAAGAGGTCATCTCTTATGAATTACTTGAAGAGTTTATGTTTTGTGTTGATGATTATGCAATGGGTGATGAGAATTGACCCTTAAATACTTTAAAGGGGAAAAGCCCCAATTTTCTTAAAACCCCAGCTTTCAAATTTGCTCAATAAAGGGGATTTGGTTCAATTGGGCTCCTAATCTTGAAATTGCATGTATTGACTTGATTTTTATGTTGGAACATGAAATGTTGAGAACCCCTTGTCACAAAACTTTGAGATGAAGATGGGCATGACTTGAAGAATTACCTTAATTGGAAATGTTTAAATTATTGGATTATTGTGAATTGAAACCACCTTAGGGAAATTGAGATTTGTAAAGTTGTAAAGTCCCTGAAAAAAAAAATGAATTCTCTTTAAAAACCCTTATGTTTGAATTATTTCCTTGAAAGCCCCTCAGTTTCTTAAATTACTTCGAATCTTGTCGGTTAGGTTTTTAAAACTTTTATCGAAACAGGAATATCCTAGCCGAATTAGATTCCTTAGTCTAATTTAATTTAATTCTACATAAATAAGGTTCCAATACATGAGTTTAATTCCAAGCCCTCACTTCTTTTATTAATTTCAAGAATTACCCCAAAAATAGTACATGTACTTTTTATACTATAGGTACCATCAAATCAATTTGAGATCTATATATATACATTGGGAAATGTATCCATAGCACCTATATATTGAATAAAAAAATTCCCCATTTCCCTTCCCCATGGCCGGCCAACCTAGAAGAATGTGAGGGACTTATTTTCAAGACTTGTAATTATGACATTCTAGAAGCTCTAGTACCTAGTACCCTTAAATCTAGGGTTATGTTCCCAACACTAGTTCCATTCCAACTAGAGGCCAACTAAATATTGTCTAATCACATGATTAAGTTCCCTAATCACTCCCTATTCCATTAGACTCCAAGTAAATCCAAACTTTTCAATCCAATTCCAACTAGTGGCCCTTCATGTCTTTTTACACCAAAATTGCCTATAACTACAACCACCCCCCCTAGCATGGCATACACAAACAACACACACTCAGATACATTCGGCTTAGAGGAGAGAAAGGAAAGCAAGGGAGAATTCTTGAGAGGGAGAGGAAGGAAGATGAGTGCAATCATGTTCAAGCCTAGCAAATAAGCCACAACACAACTCTCTCTTTTATTTTCCTTTTTCAAATACATGTTCTTAAGGGTTCTACGCATTGTTTTCAAAGGTATTATTAATGATTTCCTTGTTGTAAATCATAAAACATTATAAATTAACACAGGGGATAAAAATAATTCGAATCATATCTTAATGACACAACCTCTTGGGTAAATCACGTGCTTCCAAAATCTGATCAGTCAACGAACCCAACAGTGGAGTGATACTACAAAATCAGTATCACCCACACAAGTCACAGTGCAAAATGGCTTGATCGTTGTTTAATGGGAGAGAGTCAGAGAGATAGTCTAATCTGGGGGTGGCGAAGGAGCTCTGAGGAAGTCAGTTACTCTACTCCGGCGCGGAGCAGAATATCTGTAAGTCGGTGTGTAGCCGAGCAATTCGTTGCAGTCTCGGTGACGGGACCTAAGCCCGGCCCGAATTGCCTCGACGTTGGGGAATTGGTAGTTATCTCGGCTGGAGTTGGTGTTTTGTCCAACTTAGGATTCCCAACCGAGATGATTTGCTCCGGTTGGAAGAGTTGGTGTTTTGTCCAACTTAGGATTCCCAACCGAGATGATTTGCTCCGGTTGGAAGAGTTGGTGTTTTGTCCCACTTAGGATCCCCAACCGAGATGATTTGCTCCGGTTGGAAGAGTTGGTGTTTTGTCCCACTTAGGATCCCCAACCGAGATGATTTGCTCCGGTTGGAAGAGTTGGTGTTTTGTCCAACTTAGGATCCCCAACCGAGATGATTTGCTCCGGTTGGAAGAGTTGGTGTTTTGTCCAACTTAGGATCCCCAACCGAGATGATTTGCTCCGGTTGGAAGAGTTGGTGTTTTGTCCAACTTAGGATCCCCAACCGAGATGATTTGCTCCGGTTGGAAGAGTTGGTGTTTTGTCCAACTTAGGATCCCCAACCGAGATGATTTGCTCCGGTTGGAAGAGTTGGTGTTTTGTCCAACTTAGGATCCCCAACCGAGATGATGTACTCCGGTTGGAAGAGTTGGTGATTTGTCCAACTTAAAATTCCAAACCGAGATGGTGTATTCCGGTTGGAAGAGTTGGTGATTTGTCCAACTTAAAATTCCAAACCGAGATGGTGTATTCCGGTTGGAAGAGTTGGTGATTTGTCCAACTTAAAATTCCAAACCGAGATGGTGTATTCCGGTTGGAAGAGTTGGTGATTTGTCCAACTTAAAATTCCAAACCGAGATGGTGTATTCCGGTTGGAAGAGTTGGTGATTTGTCCAACTTAAAATTCCAAACCGAGATGGTGTATTCCGGTTGGAAGAGTTGGTGATTTGTCCAACTTAAAATTCCAAACCGAGATGGTGTATTCCGGTTGGAAGAGTTGGTGATTTGTCCAACTTAAAATTCCAAACCGAGATGGTGTATTCCGGTTGGAAGAGTTGGTGATTTGTCCAACTTAAAATTCCAAACCGAGATGGTGTATTCCGGTTGGAAGAGTTGGTGATTTGTCCAACTTAAAATTCCAAACCGAGATGGTGTATTCCGGTTGGAAGAGTTGGTGATTTGTCCAACTTAAAATTCCAAACCGAGATGGTGTATTCCGGTTGGAAGAGTTGGTGATTTGTCCAACTTAAAATTCCAAACCGAGATGGTGTATTCCGGTTGGAAGAGTTGGTGATTTGTCCAACTTAAAATTCCAAACCGAGATGGTGTATTCCGGTTGGAAGAGTTGGTGATTTGTCCAACTTAAAATTCCAAACCGAGATGGTGTATTCCGGTTGGAAGAGTTGGTGATTTGTCCAACTTAAAATTCCAAACCGAGATGGTGTATTCCGGTTGGAAGAGTTGGTGATTTGTCCAACTTAAAATTCCAAACCGAGATGGTGTATTCCGGTTGGAAGAGTTGGTGATTTGTCCAACTTAAAATTCCAAACCGAGATGGTGTATTCCGGTTGGAAGAGTTGGTGATTTGTCCAACTTAAAATTCCAAACCGAGATGGTGTATTCCGGTTGGAAGAGTAGTTGTTCTGTCCAACTTGGGATTCCCAACCGTGATGAAGTACTCCGGTTGGAAGAGTTGGCGTCTTGTCCAACATGGTATCTTGTCCAAACTTAGCAACAACCGAGATGGGTATTTCGGTGCATGAATTTGTTTTGTTATGCTCAAGTGCTTCGACCATGTTATGGACTCCGGTCGACCAAGTGTTCAAATGATAAGTCATACCGAGATAGTTTGCTGAAGACGGGATTGATTACTACCGGGCCAACACTTGACGAAAATTCGAAATTTTTCATTGATAAAGAAATTCATTACAAAAGGTGGGGACAGAGCCCGGTTACATCTAAAGTATTGAAAGCAAAAATGCAAAGAAAAGAAAACTAAATCAGGGGGGATAGATTGGTGAATTCATCCTCGGCAGTCTCAAGGTTGGTGGTTGGGCTCGCTTCTTGGGCACCGGGCTCAACTTGACCGGGCTGCACTTCCACTACGGCGTCTTCAGCCTCCGAATCTGTCTCATCACTCCCTTCTTCAAGCCCCTCCTCGGCCTCCGCTTGAAGCGCACTGAATACATCATTTGCATATGGCACGAGGTAGACCGGTAGTGAAGCTTTGGGAGGATTGGCAAAAACGTCGGTGTCAGAGCCCTGGCCGAGCTGTTCGCAAGCGGATTTCCAGCCAGCCTTGAAGTATATGTCTTGTGTTGCAAAGACTTGCTTCTTGTAATTCATCTCGGCCTCGTTGAAACCCGCATTGTTGGCAGCCCGGCAAGCCTTCTTCTTCGCCTTCTTCAAAGTGTCAACCTCGGCCTGGAGCTCGTTTTGTTTTTTCTCGGCTGCATTCAGTTGACCGAGCAGCCTGTTATTATCATTGTTGGCCATCTCGAGAGAAGCTTTAGCCCGGCCGAGCTCGGCTTGAAGGCTTTCAACCTGGCTGGCAGTGTCGTTGGCTTTCTGCCTAAGCCGGTGGATGCGCTCCAAAACCAAGTGTTGTTTTTGAATGGCCTGCACAAAGAAGCAAAGTTGATCAGAAAGGAGACCGAGCAGAAAGGAAACCGAACAAACACTTATGAAATTTTTTGAAGCAACATCCACTTACCCTGGCCATGGACTTCACCGACGATTTGACCAACCGGGTGTCTGGGACGTGGTCGCTGCCGACCACGTCGCTCAGTAGCAGTAGGGCCTTGGTCAGATCAAAGGCGAGCAAATGCTCTTTGTCAGCTTTGATAGAAGCCGTTGCCGGGATGTCCTGACCCCGGTGCTTCAAATGTGGGCGCCAGGCCGGCACAGGGGCGGGCGCGTCTGTTGGGTGCTCGGTGGTGAGCTCGGTGACTAGCTCGGCGGACGGGTCTGCCCGAGCTCTCTTCCCGGCGCGCCTTGCAGAGGGTTCTCGGCTGGATTGCCCGGCGGATGGAGTGGCAAGGGCGACCACAGCGCTACTGGATTGGCCGGCGGCTGGCGACCGGGTTACAACGCTCGGCAGCTCGGCGGAGGTGGCGGTGAGAAGATTCTTGATTCTGCTGCGCTTTGCCATCTCTTGCTCCTCGGTCAGACGAATGAGTGGAACGTCTGGAAGGGTAGGATCTGGAGGTGGCGAAGGAGCTCTGAGGAAGTCAGTTACTCTGCTCCGGTGCGGAGCGGAATATCTGTAAGTCGGGGTGTAGCCGAGCAGTTCGTTGCAATCTCGGTGACGGTACCTAAGCACGGCCCGAATTGCCTCGACGTTTGGGAATTGATAGTTGGCTTGTAAGGCTTGGATTGCTGCAAAGGAGACAGGAAAACCGGTTAGATGCAAAGTAAAGAGTTAGACCAACCGAGCAAGGTGAGCGGCTTACATGAAGAACCGAAGTTTTTGTTTATAGACCAGCCCGGTACCTCGGCTGTTTCGTAGTTGCCAGACACCCAGAAAAAATCGTCGACGTGCATGTCTTTATCCGGGGTGCCGGTTATGATTTTTTCCTTGCCCGGTCTTATTTTCAAATAGTAAGCTAGGCCATCATCGGTATGGCCCATCGTGTATTGCCTCAGTATCTCGGCTAGACCTAAGTTGATGCCTAGCCGATTGTTCAACTCGTGAACGCCGTTGATTATTCTATAAGTGTTGGTGGACACCTATGTGGGAGCCAGCCCGGTGCGGCGGAGGAACTCAGTTATAAGAGGGTTGAGCGGGAAACGGAGCCCCCCCTCGACAATGGACAGCACGGTGAAGGGGCACTCCCCCCTACCCCAAGGTGTGGTCTCCTCTTCTGCGAGATCCAGATGGACATCGCCCGGGACGCCGTACTCTTCTCTGAACGCAGCCAGCGCAGCTGGAGTATCCACTAGGAAGCGGAATTTCCCCATTTCTGGCCGGCTTGGTATAGCCCGGTTTAGTGGTTTGGCACTGGTAATTGGTTGTTGCTCGGTTCTGAGAGACTCAGGAACGACAGTGGTCCCCTTGGACTCTGCAGGAAAAGGATGGCAAGTGGTAAGTGTCAGCGCGGTCGTGCGAAAGGTGCTGGTTTTTACCTCGGTCATTAAGGGTGCCAAACCACCTCGGTTGTCTATCTAAGGAGCCCGGTCGTCCAAGCGGACCAGATGTTAGCCCGGTTGAACGGTCAGGTCCTTTGTTATCTCGGTTTTCGCTGGGGTTGAAACAAACATGTTGTTTGCCCGGTTTGGTTGGTTTTTTGGATCAAAAGAAGGCCCAGAGCCCGGTTCACCCCAGTTCTTCAGCGTTCTTCAGGAAGACGAAGAACACCAAGAACAGTGGGGGGTTTGGGACAGATTCTATGGCCTTTGCCCTAAATGCTACGATTTTGTGCCCTAATGTGTGTAAAGTGAAAGAAAATAGCAACTAGGGGGATTGAAAACCTTACCTTTGGAGGATGGGGGCTGTTCTTTCAAGAATGAGAAATGGCAGTCGAGATAGAGGAAAGGGCTTGAGCTCTGGATCGTCAGATAGTAGAAAGGCAGTAGGAAGAAATGGCTTGAGGAGGGTGATGTATATGTAAGGATGAAAGGCCGCCCAAATTCAAAAATCTGACAAGAACGGCGGGTTGGCTTCTCGATGACCAATGAGAGCTCGCCACGTGTCCCCATTTATGGCTACGTCAGGATTGAAGCGACGGGATGAAGAGACGAAGAGCCAGCCGAGCTACTTTCGACGAAAAGGCGGTAAGCCGAGGAACATGACCGGGGAAGGATAACAGATTAGCTCGATGAAGGCTTGGCGTCTTGACGACTGGACAAATGTTATCTCGGTCGAAGTGGGTAATCCCAGTCACGCTTCCGCGGACGGAATTAAGGGGCAATTGAGAGGGTAATTTATGATCTGGAGTTGGGCCGAGATATCGACCGAGCAAGTTGAGGGCCCAACGGTGCATAGGTCCGAGACGATCGACTTTTTACCCAAAGTGGGCTGCCAGAATTTGGGCCGGGCAGAGTACGGGCTGAGTGTCACCCCGGACCGGACAGAAACTGCTCGGTAAGGCAGTGCTCGGTCGGACCAGGGTGCCCGGTCCGAGGATGGCCAAAGCCGGATTGACCGAGTGACCGGCGACCAAAAAGGCATGGACAACCGAGGAAGTTGAGTGGCCGGTGCCCGGAAAGGCATGGTCAGCCGAGGAGACTGTATGGTCGGCAGGAAGGCCGATCGAAGTATCCGGGCTAGGCTTTGGCTTTTTAGCCCGGTCCTTCATGTGTTTGTCCGGCTAGGCGCATGGGTTTGAAGCATGACATGGCCGAGGTAGAACAGCTCGGCTGCCGAGCTCCAGCTGTGAAGTCAGGCAATTGAGGTTAGGTGGTGAATGGCATGGTTTATGCTGACAGATGGGATAGCAGAGCCACGTGTCAGGAGATGACTAGGAGTGGATATGGGGCTTAGAAGGTATAAAAGCATGCCTGCGCCCCCCATACGGAACACGAACACATCTGTAAGGATTTCTTACACTCAAACACTCTCTCCCTTCTCTCTATCCATCCTAAGGTGTGTGCTAACTTGACCGTCGGAGGGTTTTTCCGGCCACACACCGCCGGGTAGCTCACCATTATTTGCTCGCAGGTGATCGGACATCGACGGAGCTCGGAAGAAAGGAATACGGGCTTGCCAGAATATTTGCTCCCCGTACACCGTCGAACGTTTTCGGAATGCACGAAGGGGTTTTCGAGTTCATGCGTTTCTGAAGATACACAAATGAAATACTTGATAAATATGAAAATACATGGTGAAGATTTTTTTTCTATTTTACGAGCGCGTGTGTGTGTGTGTGTGTGTTTTGGGTTAAGCTGCTTGAACAAGGATAGAAGGATCTAAAAGGGGAAATGGGTTTGAACTTGAAAAAAAAAAAAAAAAAAAAAAAAGATCGGTTTTGGCTTCACCCGATAAAAAACACAAATTAGATCTACCGAACATATGATTCGATCGTGAATAAAAAATTTTCCTCTTCTTCCCTCAAATCTATTTGCTTTCTGATAGAATGTAGAATTTCTTTCCAACTCAATTCAACTTTGGGAAAATGGATCTGAACTTGAAAAAAAAAATCATTACCAAGTCATTTTTTATTTTTATGGTGAAGTAATTCCCTTCTGTAATAGCCAGAAAACATATTTAACGGTATTGCTTTTAATTCAATGTTGTTTATTGAAGAGAAAACATGATTTGCTTGTTGGGTTTGTCTCTCTATCAGTTTGTCTCTCTGTTAGGTTAGGTGAGGAACACAAAGCAAAGCAAATGATAGGGAAGAGGAAAAGAGGGGGAAACCCAAAAAAAGAAAAAAAAAAAAAAAAAACTAAACAAAATGACGTCGTTTTGTTGTACCGTAGGAATCATGACAGGAAACCATGACAGAGGATCTGGACTCTTTGTTTTTTGGGTATAATTCTCCAACAGTACAATACGATTCTCCTAATTTGAGGATAACCACTGTAGCCTGTCGATTTTTATTTGGGTATAAAATAAAATAAAAAGAAAAACAATTTAATGATCCATTATAGGGTGTTTGGGCAAAAAAATAATAATTTTGAATTTTTTTGGGTAAGAGGTTGAGGAGAAATTCTATTTTCACATACCTACGTATTTCAGTGCACACATTTAATGAATTATTATTTTAATAACAATTATATCATAAAAGTAAAATGACTATAATAGACATCAAAACACACTCATAATATTATATGAAAATATTCTCTTTACACATTTTTTTAAAATAAAAAATCTTAGTACACATCTTTTAATAACCAAAAAAATTCCATTTTAGACAAAAACAACAAGAAACAAAATAGATTAGGAGATTTTTATGATCTTTTTTTCTTTATTCTTAGCATCAGTTTTGTAATCAACCAAACAGATTAAGATCACAAATTTATACATCCAACCAAAAAATAAAAGCATTTTAAAATAATTAAAAAGCATTATACTCAATGAGAGTTTAATTTTCAGTATTTTGCATCACCAAAACCCTACCCATTTATGCTATGATTGATCCTTTTTACCTTTTGGCGCTTGAATAGTTTGTCTCGAGCATTCCAGTCCTGGGTTTCTGCAAATCCAATGTACCACTACATCTAAACTAAACACAAGTGAAACCCAACCCTTTTCAATCCCAAGGCTATATAGCCGTTGTTGTGCTTTCTAAGATCATCACTTGGTATTTGCAAATTGAAGTTCATAGAAAAAATACATCCACAATAATGTGTATTTTTGAAATGATGAATTTGGACTTGGATAAATTACTCATCAACTCTATGAGAGGGGCTAGATTGATGTGAGATTGTGTGGAAAGAGGGTTGATGTGATGTGTGTACAAGATATGAGTTAAAGGTATGATTAGAATATTTGGTGTGTGGAATGAAAACAATAATTAATAATCAAATTACTAAGTGTGTGCACTGAGAAATGATATACACTGAGGTAAGTAAGTGTGAGGAAATAGAATTTCTCGAGGTTAAGGCATTAAATTAACTTGTCCATAAGGACAATTTTAGGTTAAATGACCAAAACATCATCTTTATAGATGTCATATACATTGCTAACACAATCAAAATCTGTCTCCTCCTCTCACTCCCTCTTCGCTTCCTCCTCTGTCGCCTTCTCTAGCAGACTTCTACTCCACAAAGCTCATAACCGCATCTGACTCCGTCGGTGTCTCTATCATACTCTACTGTTCATTGCCGTTCGTCAGCGTCACCGCTAGTG